GTGACAAGACGACAGTTTCATCCTTCTCTCCCAGTGTCCTCTCGCTGCAGCAAGAATCCTGTCGCTATAGTGAGAAAGGCACAGTTTCATGCCTCATGCCCAAGGGCCTCTCGCTACAGTGAGAATGCCTTGCAGTAGCATCCATACTTAGCCTATTTTCAGCCCAATCAATCCAATCCAGTTATATATATATATATATATAGACACACACATATCCATATACATATATCAATAATAATTAATATTACAAAATTTGGAGCGTTACAACTCTCCCCTCCTTTAGGGAATTTCGTCTCCAAAATTCAATTCAACATGCACAAATTACACAAACAATTCCAAGTACAACTCTCTCATCCTACTCTCCGTTTCACATGTGGCATCTCCTTCATCACTCGAGCTCCATATTACCTTCACCAATGAGATCTCCTTTCCCTTCAGCTGTTTAACATGGTGATCCGCTATCCTTACAGGATGCACGTCATATGACAAGTCTTCTCTCACTTGGACCGAGTCAAGATCAATCACATACGAAGGATCCGGCACATATTGCCTTAGTTGTGACACATGGAACACCGGATGTAGATTTAAGAGATTCGGAGGCAACGCTATTCAATATGCAGCAGGACCAATTCTACTCAACACTTCGAATGGCCCAATGAACTTAAGAGATAGCTTCTGAGATTTTAGAGCTCTCCCAACTCCGGTCACAAGTGAGACCTTCAAAAACACATAGTCACCCACCTAAAACTCCAAAGGCTTCCTCCTATTATCATAATAACTCTTCTGTCGATCTTGGGCAGCCTTCATCTTCTCTCTGATCATTTTGATCTGTTCGTTTTGCTTTTGAATCATATCCGGCGCACACAGAACCGTTTCCCCAGTTTCATACCAACACAACGATGTTCTGCACCTCTGCCTATACAAAGCCTCAAATGGCGCCATCCCAAAACTAGCATGGTAACTGTTATTGTAAGTAAACTCTACCAATGGCAGGCATTCCTCCCAAGTCCCCTGCTGATCGAGCACACAAGCCCTCAGTCCTCCAGTAGGACTGAATACTTAGATCGGTCTGGCCGTCAGTCTGTGGGTGGGATCTCAGGGATCTCTAACAGCTGTAACAAGCCAGGTGGACGCTAGTGTTCTACCTTCGCCTTCTGGCAAGTTAGGCATCTAGCCACAATTTCAGTCACATCCCTCTCATTAATCTTTGACCCGCGTGTCGACCAATTAATAAACCCCTTAATCGAAATTAAAATTTACCATTGCAATTGATCTTACTATGTAAAACATAATATTGTTCCTCTCGTGAAGTTTAGATGAAATGCGCGTAGCATTGTGTTGCAAAGATAAGAATGGAATAATATTCAGCAAAAACATGGTCAAGAGTTTAAGCCAGGAAATGAGTGTGAGGCTTGTAGTGCTCTTACTCTCAGTTGTTATGCGTAATTCAAGAAAGCTCCACCACCCTCATTTTCTTAAGATTTTTCAAATTGCCCCCATCTTCCACACTTCTAGTGTACCTCTCTAATAATTTACCTTTCTCATTTTATTTCTCCTTTCATACTTCCCATTTTATTTCTATGTTTTTCATTCTGACTCTATTCCTTTCATTAGTCATCATAACCTGAACTCATTATTTTCTATTAACATATTATTCATCCTTTCATCTCTCTATTTTGCTCTAGTTCATTATTATATCATACATCAATCCATCATTGTCAAAGGTTGGTCACTTCCGGACTCAGTCCACAACACACATACATATATGCTCAAAATAAAGGTCATACACATTCTCCATCACAAAAAAAACATGTTTTCATCCAAGATATATATACATAATCACGCTCACAACATTTTCATGAGTACAAACATACCATGTTCTTAGTAATGAGGTAGAGCTCTCCTTACCTCAAAAGACAAGTTCAATGAAGGAGAGAGTGAAAATGGGTGGTCCAAAGGATAAAATCATGCTACACCTTATAAAGTGGAATACCCATTATTAATCCACTCTTATCCCCACAACACTACGTGCATTTCATCTAAACTTCACTAGAGGAACAATATTACATTTAAATGGCTAGATATAGGTACGTGGGTTCTATTCTAATGATTAACATCATTAGAACCTGCATTTTAGTGAAGATTGCGAGTTTTACGATGTTCTAGAACATACATGTTCATTGCTCTGGGATTGAAAATGACCCTTTCTTAAGGAAGCCATTTAAATTCATTTGTACAATATAACGAAAATGAAAATGAACGAAAATGGAACCGTTTGATAAAAGCAAAACAAGTATAAAAAAAATGGAAAAATGATGTAATGAAAGTAGATCAAAAGAAGGAACATAAGAAGTTATTGTAGAAACGCCTTATTATAAAACTAAAATTAGTTAATAGTCTATACAATATACACGTTTTTTATTCTAAAATAAATATACAATAAAAGTATATGAATCATTATTTAAAATTTAAAGTCATACTCAAGGGTTAAATTTAATTTTAGAGGTAATTGTAACTTAGCAAAGATGGGACAAGGACTTTGAAAAATAAAACCGTAGTTAAATGCGATGAGATTGAGCCAGTCAACTTGCTGACCTGGCCCATTATGGATAGTGAATATTAGCGAATTGGATCAAGAGAGTTTGAGCAAAAATAATTTGAATTTAATTAGACATAAAATTGTAATGAATTAAGCTAATTTTTAAAGTGGAGTATTTAAATCTAAAGGTTTCAAAGATGATAAAAGAAGTGTAAAAATGTTAAGTTTGACATGTTAGAAGCCGTTTATTAGTATTTATGAAAAAATCATGTAAAAGAAACGATAAGGTTTAGCTGTGTCCATAGAAAGTTACTTTAGTATTTTGGTTTTTTTTTTTTATAAATATAGTCTCATTTTAAGCTACACTTTTTGTTTATTGTAATTTTTTTATTAAGATTGTTTTTTATATTTCTTTATTTATTGTTATTTCTTTATGATTGTTCTTCTTTTTTCTTTTTCTGTTTCTCATTCAAATTAATGCCATCCACTTATCTTCATTAATTTGTTTTCTAAAATCACATTAATAAAGAATTCATTAAAAGAATCTAAAATTCAAACACAGATTATTCTGTGTATGTTTAGCATATAGAATTGAGACGATAGAATTGGAATTAGGCTTAAGAATTCTAATTATCATGTTTGGATGTCCATTTGGAATTGAGATAATGATTCCATGGACCAATTCTATGAAATTCTATTATAACTAAATTTGACTCACTTCAATTCCTACTGCACCCTAGGAATTTAAATTCCTAATATCATAATTCACAAATACACTCTCGCGTATCTTGTCTCCCTCATCTTCGTAGTTCTTGTTTCTTTCCCAATGCTTTCTTTCTCTTCTTTATTCCCTCTTTCCCCTATACATCTTTCTTCTTTTACTTATGCTCTGTTAATTCTCTGTATTTTCATCTATTTTTAGCTTTATTCTAACATTGATTATTAATACAACTTCTTTTATATGTTCTTTCATTTTTTCTCTATTATCTTCTTTCTCGTTTTACATTGATTATTAATAAAAGTAATTTTTTTCTATTCCTCTTCCTCTTATTCTTCCTATTTTTCTTTTATGCTTTTTATTCTTTCTTTCTTCTTTTTTTACATTTGTTTCCTATTTTTCTTTTACGTCTTCTTCTTTCTTTCTTTCTCATTTTTCACATTTGTTAGACGTTTAATATATTTACGTTATTGTATCATATTACTATTACGCGCTTACTGCAAATTGTTTATATTAATTGTATAATAAATTGTTTAATACTTTTCTTGAATTGTTAGATGTCGTAGAAAATATTAGAAATTAATTCTACGGTGTGACAAAGACATAGTCGAAGGTTTTCGCAATTATATCATAAAACGGATGAAATTGTTATAATCAATTAAGTGTTATTAAATGAGGTTTTTTTTAGCTTTGCAATATTTTACTATTATGTAAGCGTAGAAGAATTTGTTACAATGTTTTTACTTATTTTAACTCATGGTCTCAAAATAAGAGTTCTTGAAAGCACTTATTCAATTTTGAGAATTAAATTATATTTGTGAGCATTTGTATGCTTTCATTTAATTTATAAGAAAGATAGTTCATAACAAAATATTAAATTTTAATGATTAAATATAAAAAGATAAATTTACTGTGTCATAATTTTTGAAAAAAAATATTAAGTTATCATCTTTACCAATTTATTTTTTAATTATTTTGTATTTTTAATTACTACAATATTTTTGAAAAAATTATTAAATAAAATTTTAATGCAAAATTAAATTATTTTTTAAAAATTTAGATCTTACATCACACTGTAGAATTTGATTTCGAACTTAAAATTTTAATTCTACATTTTAATTCCTTGAATATGTCAAACATAAAATTGTAATTCTAAATCAATTCCAATTATGATGAAATTGGAATTAAAATTATAATTCTAAATGTCAATTTTGATTTCATGCAAGAAACGAACCCTTAAATTTATTTATTTATTGAAAACAAAAACCATCATACACAACTATGTATTTCGAGAAATATTATACATTTTTCCTTTTGTACTTTGATTCCTTATTACCAAAGATATTAAAAAGGCAAATAATGTTATTATAATTGGCAAAGTGTTGCAGTTGAGGAAGACACTATATCATATACGTACAATATGGTATATGTATTTGATTTTGATTTTCGCGGAAAGTATTATGAATTCCTTGTTTGTAAATTAGTATAAATAAGAAAACATATCCCAACTAAAATATAATTTGACAAAGTAAGGAGGAAGTCAACCTTTAGTATAAAATCAACATAACAATGTATTTAATCAAAATAAATAAAACATAACTATAATATATCATTATAACCTCCGCATCCAATTTATTTGTTACAATAACCCTAACTATTTGGAAAACGGTCAAATGGTTGAGGTGATCAAAACACTGTTGTGATATATCGCATCAGAATAAATTGAGCACGAATGCTGAGAAACTAGTTGTTGTCATACCAAGATTGCTTCTGAAGATAAGCAATTGTGTTCTTGTCTACCTGGAACGCTTTAGTAAGAACCTCTGGAGAAATAGGTGGATTAGCTTTAAATAAAGCATTTGCAACAATGATAAGCCCTGGATTTTGGCTACTGAGAGCAGCAATGGCAACAGCGTTTCCGTATCCCACATTGAGCTGGAAATGAATGAGACCAATTGGGAACACAAAAACATCACCCTTATTAAGAACTTTGGTGAAGAGACGATTATTGTTTTGATTAGAGGCGACAAATCCAACAAAAAGAGTGCCTTCAAGGACTATAAGGATCTCAGTGCCTCGAGGGTGAATATGGGGAGGGTTTAAACCCTTAGGTGCAAAATCTATGCGAGCCAAAGATACACCAAGTGTGTTTAGTCCTGGTAGTTGATCAACAAAGACCGGAGTCACTTGTGAGCCCAGTGGGTTGTTTGCATTTCCGGGATCCACATGTTTGAAGAAATCTTCAGCCTTCACAAGTTTGGGGTCTTTGCAGAATTTTCCATTCACAAACACTGCAAATTAACAAGGAACATTTTTTAAACAATACGTTCTTGTTATTACGAGAATCTTAAAATTTATGTAGCAAGACATGTTAGGAACGTTTGTACATACCACCATCGGTTTCGTTGATTGCCACACAAAAGTCTTGTAAAGGACTGGGGTCATATCCAAAGACAAGAGAGGATGCCAAAGCCAAGGTGGCAACAAGGAAGTAGACAACCTTCATTTCTAATGATTCTTCTTAAGTAATTGTGTTTTGAATTGAATTTTGATCATGTGAAGCACTGAAGCTAGCTATTTATAAGGATTGGCTGCCAAATTACTCTTACCTTACGCAATTAATTCTTTAATTTATTTGATGAACCTTTCCTTAGCAACTGCATTTGTGCTTGATCAAAGAGTAGACTAAGGAGATGCTCCATATTTTGAATGTTTCAGTATTACCTCTTCAAGTTGCCTTTCCACACGCACTAGTTGTTCCAGTCATATTATTTTATAATGGAAAGCTATTATCAGTTAAATCCAAGGCCTGTTTGGACTCTTTCTCAAATTTTCAGAGTGGTTAAATAGTTTTCCCTTTTTCAAACTCACCTTTTTCTTCTTGCTGCGTGTTATGAATTATAATGTAGTTTAGATACGATCGTAATGAGTAGTTGGTGGAATAGGGATTATTATATCAAAGATAGGGTCAAAATCTCACTTGTATATGTTAGCAAGGAAAAAGCCTTAACTTGTTTCTGTATAACTTGTTTTCTTACCCTATTGTAATATTCTAATGACACAACATCGTTTAAAGGATTGGGTCAAATCGATTCGTTGACTTTGCAAACGCTTTTGTCGTTACGTCGGCCTTTATATGAATCGATATGGAAAAGGATATATATCTGCAATAACATTATCACTCGACTGGATCTAATCCTTTATTTAAAAAAAAGACAAAATAGATGGTTAAGATTGTCCCTGAATTAAGTTAATTGAAATTTTCGCCGTAGAGGATCTAAATCCATGAATCGATTGTCACTGTTGTCAGAGATTAAGATTTTTCCTTGATTAACATTTTCTCTAAAATTTTATTATTATTAGCTACTTATTCTGACAAAATTCTAATTTTATTTATCCTATATTTTTCAAATTTATCAATTCTTTTTAAGAAGTGAAACAAACAGCCCCTTGATATTCAAATTACCGTTTTCTATTTTGCCTTACAAAATCCATTTCCCATGGCGTAAGAAAACAAGTCCAGCGAATTGCAACCGGAGTCTTAAATGCGACCGTGTGAAAAATAATTCATTGATGGTCCGATTGTACCCCAAACTCTTACAAAATTTCCATATTCCACCAACTACTTTTGACGAAGATGTTTAAACTTGAAATAGTAACAGAAAGCCAAAAACAGATGGTTCGGAAAATAAGTTTAAATACTGTAAACTGTTACCGTCAGGTCTGAAAATTTGAGACAAAGTCTAAACTGCATTTTTGAATTAGTTTACGAGCTTTTCGTAATAAAATAATATTACAGTCACGACTACTCTTTGATTAAGTGGACGAGGTATTACTGAAACGTTTGCTTTTTCTTGTGAAGCATCTCCTTAGTCTACTCTTTGATCAAGCACGCATGTAGTTGTTAAGGACTCGTTCATCATCAAATGGAGTGTTAATTATGCTTAGGAGATAAACAGAAAACCAATTCAACTTTCATCCTTATAAATAGCAAGTTTTACCTGAGTTAAATTTATCAATTCTTACTCGCAATTGCATGCACACGCAGAACCATTTACAATAGTTCTACGGAAAAAATGAAACAAGTCTACTTTCTTGTTGCTGTCTTGGCTTTGGCATCCTCCCTTGCCTCTGCTTATGACCCCAGTCCTCTGCAGGATTTTTGTGTGGCAATCAATGAAACTGATGGAGTATGTGCAAGCATTCCTCAAAAGTCTACTTACACTCATTTTAAGTTTGTTTCTTTATAATATTAAAATCACGTCCAGAATTAGTGTAATTAAAAAGCTTTGCCTCGTTGATGATTTGCAGTATTTGTGAACGGAAAATTCTGCAAAGATCCCAAGCTTGTTAAAGCTGAAGATTTCTTCATACATGTGGAACCTGGGAACACTGCCAACCCATTGGGCTCACAAGTAACTCCGGTCTTTGTGGATCAACTACCAGGATTAAATACACTCGGCATATCTTTGGCTCGCATAGATTTTGCACCCAAGGGTTTGAACCCTCCCCACACACACCCTCGTGGCACAGAGATTCTTATAGTCCTTGAAGGTACTCTTTATGTTGGATTTGTCACATCAAATCAGGACAATAATCGTCTCTTTACCAAAGTGTTGAACAAGGGCGACGTCTTTGTGTTTCCAATTGGCCTCATCCATTTTCAACTGAATGTGGGATATGGCAATGCTGTTGCGATTTCTGGTCTTAGCAGTCAAAATCCAGGAACTATAATTATTGCAAATGCTTTGTTTAAAGCTAATCCACCTATTTCTCCTGAAGTTCTTTCCAAAGCTTTTCAAGTCGACAAGAAAGTAATTGATCAGCTTCAGAAGAATTCCTGGTACGACAACAACTAATTTCGGAACATGGACTGTTGACTCACATTTGTTATTGAAATTTGAGTTCAGTTAACCTTATGTATTTGACCTTCTTCAAATAATTACTATTATCATAAATAAAATGTACGTGGGTCATACTTATATAACGTAGTTGTTTACGTGGAGTGTGTTTTGATTCAATACACACTTTTTCTGAGCTTTAACAAAAGAACTACATTTCGCCCCTCTCTTTTTTTAAGAGATTTTTTTATAAATTTTAGGCTTATATTAATTTATAAGAAATGACACGTCAGTGTGTTAGATAAAAATTACAAAGGTTCTGTATCGTAACAAGTAATAAAGACGAGACTAGAGTATCGTCTTCTTTAATGTATGTGTTGGAACTTTAAGACATTAAAAAGGCATTTTCTTTGGAATTAATAAGGGGTTCTTAATTAATTAAGCCCCTCAAGTTACGGGATACAAAGATATTAGAACCTTTGTTCATTGATACGAAGATACTATTAAGATAAACAAAATAAATTCCGCTTTTATATAACTATGCAACAAAAAACAAAGTTAGAAAATTAGAGAATTGATATAACAATGAACAATAAAGATAGAAAATGGAGGAATTTTTTAATGGAGCTTCAAACTTTGTTTCCATCGAACCATAGACTTCAATTCGAAGAACCTTATAAGGAAAACACAGAAAACAAAATCTTGGATAGAGAACAAATGAAAAAAAATGATAAAAGACTCTGAATTCAACAATTTTGCTTAACCTTCTACAGAGTTAAACGTGGGAGACTCTCTTGGTAGTCGGTATCTATTTTGGTGTAGAATTTTAGCATGTAGAGAATTTTACGTGCAGTATATGGTGCAAAAAGTCTCTTGTCATGTAAAGCTTCATGTTATTTATAGACAAATGAATATCAATCGCTTTCCTCCTTTTGTGAGCACTTCTTAATAACTACATTTTGTGTGTGCTTCTCTCCAACTGTTGTCGCCCATTATCCATGACCGCTCATGATCATGCCGTATCCATAACCATTGTCGTTCACGATTATTTCTTCGTGTCTCTGACCTTTAACTAGTGGTAACTGCTGGTAACTGCTGCTTTGGTAGTCGTTTCAAACCTTGTAGTTCTTTCAACATGTTTCTCCGCTTTTTTAGCTCCATCCTGCCTCTTTAACTTAGAGTAATTTCCCTTGTCAATTCTCTTTTTAGCAAGTTTTAAGAAAAATTCGTGAGCTCCATCCTCTCTCTTGGACGTAGAACATTTTCTCTTGTTAATTCCTATTTCGACAAATTTCAAGAAAAATTTGTGAGCTTCATCTTGTCTCGTGAACTTAAAGTAATTTTCCTGTTAGTTCCTAATCTTTTTTTATTTTTTTGTCTTAAAACTGCTTATTTTATTTGTACAAACAAAGAATAAAATAAAATTTTTTGTATATGACAAGCATTGTAAATAGAGTAAATAAAATACAATTTTGTCAATAAGATTATTTACAAAATTTCTTAATCATGGAATATTAATTAAATAACAGTAAATTTAAAGATCATAATAATAAGGAAACAAATTTTCAAATCTGGATCCTAAACATGCATTATATATATCAAGTATGAAAATTTATAAACTGTTTGTCAAAATATATTGGACTTAAGATAACAATTACACAACCAAAATAATTACATCACAAAAATAATTTAACTTCTAGAGCAATCCTAAAAATTATCCAAAAACTGAGGACCCAGTGCTAGTCATCTTCATGTCATCCTTCTATCTCTGCTAAATCCTCTTAATTGAGATCATCATTTGATTCGAGATATAAATCTCCTAAGTCAGCCGCAACCTCAACACCCGTGACTCGCTCACCGGTAACTCGAGTCAACATTTTAAGATGGTTATGATCATGGTATGTGAATAAATATGTGAAGGCTGTTAGGGTCTAACTATATCTCTATAAATATATAAATATAACATACAGTGGATTCTACTTATAGAAAAATCAAAAGAAACGCTATAATATAGTTCCATCTCCAATATAATAATATTCCTAGGTATGTCATCAATATGTACAGCCAACTTAAAATAACATGTCCTTTGGTACTCATTAAATGCATAATTAAGTTTACAATGTATAAAACTATCTATTAATCTAATTCTTTCTTGTGGCACCATTATCATGTTTCCCTGAAAATTTTAGTAAGGATGAGCATCTATTCTATCATTTTACAAATAAGCATATTACATGAAATCATAATATGACATAAAGAAACATAATCATTTTAATAACCAATTCACAGAACAACCATAATCACATATTCTTACCAACAATTTGTTATGACTTATTTACTTTTCTCCTTAAATACACACTCCCAGTGCCCTATGATCACAGACAATGATGCGTCTAGCATTTCTTGAGGTCTTACTCAACTAGGCAAAGAGTCATCTGTTAGCCCATGTACACGGATACAATGCATACAATAACGAACCCTTACCAAAGGTGTAGTCAAGAGTCTAGTCAGGAAATGAGTGTGAGGCCATGTGATGCATTCACTCTTGGAAAGAGTGTGTACAAATACATAAATTCCGTTCACCACCCTACGTTTCTCCTAGACTTTTATTGTCTCTAGACTCTATACCTCTAGTGTATCTATGTAACTATTCACACTAGATCTATTCGATGTCCAACACTTATA